ATTTTATTGTGTGGACACACACAATCGGCTGTATACAACCGATTTCAATAAAACCGGCTTCTATAAATTCGAACTAATTTCGTAGTGTAGACGTACCCTTAGTGTTAAGTTGTCTTGTTTTCATAATGTGTGTTGTCCTGGTTGGGAAGGGCAGGGTTAAGGGTGGGCAGGCCACTTGTCCTGTAAAAACTGGATGGTCCACTTTTTGAGAAGTTTGTCCTCTTTTCAGTACTGGGACAAAACCAGACATGGTTTTGTCTGGTATTGGATGAGGGACAATGTTCTGCCCCCTCTGACTCTTAAAAAATGGCACGTCAGTGGGGACAGGGCATTCTTAAAAATAGTGTCCCCCATGCGGCACGACTTTGCACTCACCATGAGTAGAGGTCACACCAGTAGGGGCAGGGTGGGCATGCTCTTAAAGATGATGTCCCCCATGTGGTGGGATCTCACACTCATGTTGTCCCCCCAATTTCTGGAAGTATCAGAGTGTTTTCTGTAGGGTTGCCACCTTTCTAATTGCTGCTAACTCGACCCCTGAAGCCCTGCCCCTGCCTCACGTCTTCCCCCAAAGCCCCACCCCTTCTTCACCTCTTCCACTAGGCTCCACCTCTTCTCTCCCTCTTCACTCAGGCCCTGCTCCCTTGTCTGCCTCTTGCCCCCCAAGGCCCCACCCCTGTTGCTCTTCTTCCCCCCCGCCCTTGCTAGCTGAATTGTCTCCACCTCCCCTCCCCCCACCAGCTGGGCTCCCTCTGCTCTGGGCTGGGATGGCAGCTGCTGCAGCCTGACAAGGAGCCTGCCTGCAGGTAGGAGGTGACCCGGGCTGGCACGGGTTAATGACCCGGCACTTGACCCCGCCTCGGGGTCATCGGACTTTGTACTGACCAGACACTGCCACGTCCCCATTTTGACCAGACTTTCCAGTCAAAAAGCTGCCACCTGGCAACCCTAAACAGCACCTGGACACAGAAACCAAAAACCGGACAGCCCAGGTAAAACCCAGACAGGTGGCAACGCTCGTCCTCTAGAACACGTGAGCTTAGTTCAAGGTCAGAGGAAACCTGTCTTGCCTGTGTGTGTATCGGAGTTGGTAGTTGCAGTGAACTAATAAATGCTGTGATTTCTCTGGCTTACCTATTACAGTATCTCTGGTGAATTAGAAGAAACAACCACAGAGGTGGTCAAATAAACCCATGAGCGGCGAGTTCTATGGGCCTGTGGTGTCCGTGCTCCAGCAAATTCAGGGCCTGGGGGACCGGCTCCACCAATGTTTGGGGTTGGGTCTCTCCCCGCCTGCTGCCCCCATGCACTGCCCCGGAGCATCCCTGCCTGTGTCCTGGGCAGCGGGCGGCTGCTCTGCTCCTGCTGCTCTGCTCCCTTGCCGGCCGGCCGCTGCCGGCTACAAAAGGGAGCGGCACTGGCAGCAGGATGAGGCAGCGGCACACACGTGATGGCAGCCCCCTCCCCCCGGCACCCACCACAGGGGAGGTGAGGCGAGGGGGCTTCCTGGACCCGAGGTGCCCAGCCCCTAGGAGCATGTGCAGTGACAGTGCCGAGTGAGTGTACACCCCAAACTCCTCATCTCCAGCCCTACCCCAGAGCCCTCACCCCCCGCCCCAACCCTCTGCCCAGGGCCGGCTCCAGGCACCAGCGCAGCAAGCAGGCCAAGGGAAAGGGGCGGCACGTCCCTCAGTCCCCCGTGGAGGGCAGGAACTGCCGCCGAATTACCGCCGAAAAATGAAGCAGCGGTGGTAGAAGTGCTGATTGCGGCTTTCCGCCCCCGGCCCTGCCTCTGCCCCAGCCCTGAGCTCCCCTCCAGCACCCTGAAACCCTCATCCCCAGCCCCACCCTGCAGCCCTCACCCCTGCACCCCAATCCTCTGCCTTAGCCCTGAGCCCCTCCCACACCCCAAACCCCTAATCCCCAGCCAGAGCCCTTATCCCCCCACACCCCAACCCTCTGCCCTATCCTCTCCGACACCCCAAATCCCTCATCCCCAGCCAGAGCCCTTATCCACCCACACCCCAACCCTCTGCCCTATCCTCTCCGACACCCCAAATCCCTCATCCCCAGCCAGAGCCCTTATCCACCCACACCCCAACCC